CAGTTTCCCCACCTATAAAATAAGGACAATAATAGTACTTACCTGAGAATGTGTTGTGAAGATTAAGCGAGTTAATATATAAAAAACATTTAGAAAACAGCTGAGTCATGGTAAGTGCTAATTAAATGGATCAGACAAAATTACAGCTGTTTGCCCTTCCCACAGAATGGATGACTAGAAAGGTTCACTAGACTTGCTGGACGTTTCACAGCTGGCTAACCTGCTTAGATGTAGGCCTGAGAGTATAGTGCCAATGCCAAGGCCACTGCACGCTCTGTGCTGACAACTGGGAGCCTGACTCTCAGCCCAGTGCTCTTCTACTGGGCGTGGATGCTGAGTGGGGCCCACCCTTACCTGGGTGCTACGCTCCTTTCCTGCTGTCAAGGCCCAAGTCTGCGGGTTTTGACCCCTCTCATCGTGAAGTCGCAGGTCACCTCCTGCATCTAGCAGTTTGCTGAGGATCCACTGATTGCCTGAAAATGCTGCCGCATGGACAGGAGTGCTCCCGTCAAAGCAGCGGCTGGGGAGGGAGATGGGTACAATGGGTGTCCATGGAAATGCTCCTGCATTCCACAGAGCCAGGCTCAGTGTGCAACACAGGGCTCCCATTCTACAAGAATGGGGAATGAGGGATATAACAGCATAATTTGTGAGGCCCCTGTCTGTGACCTTTCTTTCTTTCTTTTTTCTTTTTTTTTGAGACAGAGTCTCGCTCTGTCGCCCAGGCTGGAGTACAGTGGCATGATCTCAGCTCACTGCAACCTCCACCTCACGGGTACAAGCGATCCCCCTGCCTCAGACTCCCGAGTAGCTGGAACTAAAGGTGCCCACCACCATGCCCAGCTAATTTTTGTAATTTTAGTAGGGATGGGATTTCACCACGTTGGCCAGACTGGTCTCTAACTCCTGACCTCAGGTGATCCACTCGCCTTGGCCTACCAAAGTGATGGATTTACAGGCGTGAGCCACCACGCCTGGTGCCCTGCTATTTTTTCATAGTTTCCTAATCTGGCTGCACATCAGAATAGATAAGATTCTTAAATGAAAATAGGCTGGGCGCAGTGGCCACGCCTATAATCCCAGCACTTTGGGAGGCTGAGGCGGGTGGATCACGAGGTCAAGAGATCAAGACCATCCTGGGCAACATAGTGAAACTCTACTAAAAATACAAAAATTAGCTGGGCAAGGTGGTGGCGTGTGCCTGTAGTCTCAGCTACTCGGGAGGCTGAGGCAGGAGAATTGCTTGAACCCAGGAGGCGGAGGTTGCAATGAGCCGAGATCACGCCATTGCACTCCAGCCTGGGTAACAAGCTTGAAACTCTGTCTCAAAAAAAAAAAAAAGAAAATATGTAGGCCAGGCGTGGTGGCTCACGCCTGTAATCCCAGCACTTTGGGAGGCTGAGGTGGGCGAATCACCTGAGGTCAGGAGTTTGAAACCAGCCTGGCCAACAAGGTAAAACCCCGCCTCTACTAAAAATACAAAAATTAGGCCGGGTGCAGTGGCTCCCGCCTGTAATCCCAGCATTTTGGAAGGCCAATGTGGGCAGATCATGAGGTCAGGAGTTTGAGACCAGCCTGGCCAAGATGGTGAAACCCCGACTCTACTAAAAATACAAAAATTAGCCATGCATGGTGGTGGGCACCTGTAATCTCGGCTACTTGGGAGACTGAGGCAGGAGAATTGCATGCACCTGGGAGGCGGAGATTGCAGTGAGCCAAGATTGTGCCACTGCACTCCAGCCTGGGTAACAGAGCAAGAATATCTCAAAAAAAAAGGAGAAAAGGCCGGTTGGGATGGCTCACGCCTATAATCCCAGCACTTTGGGAGGCTGAGGTGGGTGGATTACCTGAGGTTGGGAGTTAAGACCAGCCTGACCAAGATGGAGAAACCCCGTTGCAAAGCCCCAGTTTCTGGTTCTGTTCAATGGGAACTGAAAAAAAATAACCACCACCCACCTTCCTTCTCTGTCAAGAAGGTGTGAAGTAAGCTAGCGTTTGGGCAGGCCCTAGGAAAAGCCAAAGTGCTTTACAGAAAGAGATGTTTGGCCAAGTGCAGTGGCTCACACCTGTAATCCCAGCACTTTGGGAGGCCAAGGCAGATGGATCGCTAGAGGTCAAGAGTTCAAGACCAGCCTGGCCAACATGGGGAAACACTGTCTCTACTAAAAATATAAAAAATTAGCCAGGTGTGATGATGCACACTTGTAATCCCAGCTGCTCCAGAGGCTGAGGCAGGAGAATTGCTTGAACCCGGGTGGCAGAGGCTGTAGTGAGCTGAGATCATGCCACTGCACTCCAGCCTGAGCTGAGCTAGGACCCCGTCTCTCTCTCTCTCTCTTTTTTTTTTTAGTTCAAACTCATTTCCCTTTTACTAAAGTACAGGTTACCATTACATGGCTTGGTACTCAATAAAGGAAAACTTAATCAAATAAGGTAATATGTTACCATCAGTATTTCCAGGTGACTGTTTACACTCAAGTAGCAATATGAATAAATCCTCAATAAATCCTTGGAAAGCCCATCCATGGGGTTTACACTTTGTCAAGGCCCAGTTCCTCCGGAGTGGAGATTTCCAGTTCATTTAAAGTTAGCCTAGGTTCCTGGATGACATAGGGGTAGATTTCCTTATGAGGTCCTGCTTTGTCCTTAACAGCCTCTAGGATGCGAACTGTACTAGCAAAATCATTTAACCGTCTGCATGCCCGCAAAGCAGCATCAATGATTTTGGGCTCTGAGGACCCTGTCACTGTTCGCCTGTCACTGATTCATTACATTGTGTTGCTCTTACATATTAAAATTTAGACCAATAATTAAATTCCAATTCTTTTACAGCAATAAGAGTCAGGCAAAAGTCACTCTTTTTTTATTTTATTTTTATTTTTGAGACAGAGTATCACTCTTGTTGCCCAGGCTGGAGTGCAATGGCACCATCTCAGCTCACTGCAACCTCCACCTCCTGGGTTTAAGCGATTCTCCTGTCTCAGCCTCCCAAGTAGCTGGGATTACAGGCATGCGCCACCATACCTGGCTAATTTTTCATATTTTTAGTAGAGACAGGGTTTCACTATGTTGGTCAGGCTAGTCTCGAACTCCTGACCTCAAGTAGTCTGTCCACCTTGGCCTCCCAAAGTGTTGGGATTACAGGCATGGGCCACCACACCCAGCCCAGAAGTCACCCTTTCTCACAAAATGATGCCACATATATTTAATTGGTGAAGAACTAACTTGGTCGTGGAGATGTCAAACTGCCTAAGCAAGTACAGTACATAATACAAATTACAATCTGGAGTGGAAATATGCAAACAGTGCTATTAATGACTAAGTAACATATTAATGACTAATCTCAATCATATTTCATTGAGTCCGGCATAACTGCTTAGAAAAATTTTGTTAGCAGTTAAAATTATGTTTCAACATATGTATACAACCATGCATCATTGATATAAATCAACAAAGGTTCTTCTCTTTTAACATTTTTCAAATTAGTTTCTAAACACCCCAACTCATCTTTAACAGTACAACCCCTATTTTCTAGACACCAATTTATTGTACTTACTGATTTGGATCTGATCCATAATCCACCAGAACATCAACTAATTTCATAAGGCCCAATAATGCTGCAACAAAAAGTGGTGTTTGCCCCAAGGAGTTGACTGCATCAACACAAATTCCTGCAAAGAAAATACCAGAATCAATGCAAATATCAGTAATTTTCCTAAGATGGAACTGGGTAGGGAGAGGAGAGGGAATTAAATGTCTTTATAGTGTACTTTTATATATTGCTGTGAGCCTTAAAAAAAAAATTTTAAAAAGAAGACCTTCATTAGTTGCACATAGATACACTGGAAGGCAACCTGTGTTTATTCATCAAAAATATTTACAGAAAGTTGTATTGAAGCATTTATTTCACCATACTTTGGTATATTATAACATGGATTAAAATGTTCTCAGTCATGGGAAGGGATAGAGAGGGACTAATGATACTGTGTTTGTTGGGAGAAAGGCTGTAACATAAGAAGAGCTCACTGGAATACAAATCCTCCCCTAAAAAATAAAGTATAGCCAGGCGCGGTGGCTCAAGCCTGTAATCCCAGCACTTTGGGAGGCCGAGGCGGGTGGATCACGAGGTCAAGAGATCGAGACCAACCTGGTTAACATGGTGAAACCCAGTCTCTACTAAAAATACAAAAAAAAAAAATTAGCTGGGCATGGTGGTGCGTGCCTATAATCCCAGCTACTCAGGAGGCTGAGGAAGGAGAATTGCCTGAACCCAGGAGGCGGAGGTTGCGGTGAGCCGAGATCGCGCCATTGCACTCCAGCCTGGGTAACAAGAGCGAAACTCCGTCTCAAAAAAAAAAAAAAAAAAAAAAAGTATAAAGATTAATTCAACAAGGGAAAAACAAAACACACAAAACAGACCAATTTCCAGTACAATCAAACAATGAATCCGGGAATAATTAAAAGGAACTGGAAACAAAAAGCCAAAGAAATAACAACCAAAACCAGGTAGAAGGAAAAGAAAAGAGTAAGTAGATGTGAAACACGCCTTTCCTACCGAGAAGAAATTCATTCTCCAGAACACCAAAAACCACCATAACACATAAAAATCATAACTCCCCAAATCTGGCCAAGTGCTGTGGCTCACACCTATAACCCCAGAACTTTAAAAAGCCAAGGCAGGTGAATTAGGTAAAACCAAAAGCCAAGACAGGTGAATTACGTAAAACCAAAAGCTTAAGACCATCCTAACCAACGTAGGCAAAACCATCTGTTTACCAAATCTACAAAAATCAGCAGAATGCCGCTATGCACCTGTAACCCCAACCACTCAAGACTAAAACAGAACAATACCGCTTAGGTGCAGGATACACCCGCACCACGTTAAATGCTGAAAACTAAAGATTACTCACTTTCCAAACATCCCACCAATACTTCACATAGTAATTGCTTACTTGATAAGCACAACTGTAGCTAACCTTAATACAGAAATAAAAGCGGAAACCACTCAGACTGTGTCCTCTCCCTCTAACTCTCCCAAAGGAAGAGAAGAACGATCATCAACGGCAGATGACAGTTGCAAAACCGCAACATCAAAAGCCAACCTCACGCTCAGGAGAGGACACTGTACCTCCTCCTCGTGGTTTCCGGTGCTCTACACGTTCAGAGAAACTTCTCTAGTAACATACTATAGAAATGATCCCTGAAAGTATAGTCTTAGCTTTCGTTGCTCTGCCTTCCCAACGCGGAAGAAACTCATACACATTTTGCTAATGATGAGTTTTTTGTAGTCACCATTATCTACGGAGAATACTGATATATGTTTTTCTAAAAACCATCTTTCTATTACCAAGGTTCGACAAAGCCTTTAAAATAAGCTCAAAATTTCGAAGATACCTTAGGCACTCATGCTAATTAACATATGATAGCAAAACAGCCAATCACTCGCCAGTTACTTCCTAACCCTGCCCCACTTTCGCTACACGTAACACTGACGACTATAGAGCGCGCGGAGCGCCAGAAACTGTCAGGGACACACCTCGGTTGGGGCTGAAGATCCGAAGCCGGGAATCCCTTGAGGAAAAACTAAAGCGTAAGTGACAATTCAAAACCAGAGTATATCTGCATAGCACACCCTATCAAATTTTATCCTGTGATCAAAATTCCAGACAGGTAAATATTTTTAAATATTTTAGATTTCTTCCCCCAAAACCAGGGAGGTTTTATTCTACATGGCATTGCTGTGTTTATTTTTTGGGACCGGGTCTCGCTCTGTCTCCCAGTCTGGCCTTGAACTCCTGGGCTCAAGCGACCCTCCAACATCAGCCTTCCAAAATGTTGGGATTACAGGTATGAGCCACCACACCCGGCCATTGCTGTGTTTAACCAAGCAGGACAATACATTCCTCTGGTTTAAGCTTCGGTAGCTTCCCATTTCTTGAGGTAGAGACAAAACTTCTCTATATACTTATGTGAGATAATATTTTAAATGGCCCATTTTCAAGGAATAATAAATCTAAGTACTGGCAGCCAGCCTGCAAATGTAACTAACCACACAGCTCATGCACCTAGAAGTTCATAATAAGCAAACAGAATGTAGAGGAGGGGTCAGCCCATAAAAGGGAAAAAGTTACATTATTGGGAAACTGAAACTTAAGGAAGGGGACAGGGTATAACCTTATTAGGGTGATACTGAAACTTAGGTGACATCCGGGAAGATTGTAACCTCATAGTTACAACCAATGAGGAACTGGGGGAGGGACTTGTATGCTAGGAAATAAATTATACCAGACACCGAATCTTGCAAGACCCTTATTAGAAGTCTAACTTTCAAGGCCGGACATGGTGGCTCATGCCTGTAATCCCAGCCTGGCCACCGTGGTGAAATCCTGTCTACTAAAAGCACAAAAATTAGCTGGGCATGGTGGTGCACACCTATAGTGCTACTCCGGAGGCTGACAGAATTGCTTCAACCTGGAAGGTGGATGTTGCAGGGAGCCAAGATTGTACCACTGTACTCCAGCCTGGGCAACAGAGTGAGACTCTGTTGCCCAAAAAAAAAAAAAAAAAAAAAAAAAAAAAGGAGGCAAAGCCAAAAAGTAGGCAAGAGATTAGAGAAAAACCTGGAAGAAATGGGTCATAGTGACAAGGAAGGTTAAGAGTTTCAAAAAGGATCAGTCAATAGTATCAAAGCCTGAGACACCTAGTAAGAAGACACTGGGCTGGGTGTGGGGGCTCAGGCCTGTAATCTTAGCACTTTGGGAGGCTGAGGCCAGGAGTTCAAGACCAGCCTGGTCAACATGGTGAAACCCTGTCTCTACTAAAAATACAAACACAAAAATTACCCAGGCTTGGTGGCACATGCCTGTAATGCCAGCTACTTGGGAAGCTGAGGCAGGATTGAACCTGAGAGGCAGTCATTACAGTAAGCTGAGATGATGCCACTGCACTCCAATCTGGGCAACAGAGTAAGACCATGTCTCAAAAAAAAAAAAAAAAAAAAGAGGAAGAAACAGTATTCTTGGTGAGAGCAGTGCTAGTGGGTTCACATGTCTTACTGCTCAGGGCTTGCTGTGTTATATTTGCAGTATGTCTGTGTCCTCTACCAGACTGTCTCTCCTACACCAGAGAGTAGGAACTGACAAATATATCTCCCCTACCTTCAGTGCCTTGTTCACTTACCTGCCCAACACAAGCCAGACTAAGAGTAGAGAAGAACAGCAGAGAACCAGCAAAAGGACAATTCTGCATGCATCTCTCAGAGTTATGCATGTCATGAGGGCAGGGCACTAACCTGTTCAGGGCACCTCTTTGAAGATATTTGTATAGTGAACTTTGGAAGATAGATAGTATCTACATTCAGAGCAAAGTGAATACATGCTTACCATCCAGTATAATAAAAATAATATCTCCAACCAGGCACGGTGGCTCACGCCTGTAATCCCAGCATTCTGGGAAGCTGAGACAGGTAGATCACCTGAGGTCAGGAGTTCGAGACCAGCCTGGCCAACATGATAAAACTCTGCCTCTATTAAAACTACAAAAATTAACTGGGCATGGTGGAGGGCGCCTGTAAACCCAGCTACTCAGGAGGCTGAGGCAGGAGAATCGCTTGAACCCAGGAGGTGGAGGTTGCAGTGAGCTGAGATTGCACCATTGCACTCCAGCCTGGGTTGACAGAGCAAAACTCTGTCTAAAAAAAAAAAGTTAAAAGGAAAAAATGTTGATATTCTTGCTATTGCTATTGCTATGAGTAATAAACCATCATTCATCTATGACCCCAAGAGAAGGGTCATCTATACACCTGTAACAGTCTAATTTATCAAATCTCAAACTATTCATAGTTATTGAAAGGAAGAAATTACAGTCAAGGAGGCAAAAAATTAAATCAACTAAGGACTTCAAGGGGTTCTCTCTCTCTCTCTCTCTTTTTTTTTAAAGATAGAGTCTCACTCTGTTGCCCAGGCTGGAGTGCAGTGGCAAGACCTTGGCTCACTGCAACCTCTGCCTCCCAGTTTCAAGTGATTCTTCTGCCTCAGCTTCCTGAGTAACTGGGATTAATGGCACGCAACTCAGCCTCCCACGTAGCTGGGATTACAGGCGCCCACCACCATGCCCAGCTAATTTTTATATTTTGAATAGAGACAGGGTTTCACCATGTTGACCAGGCTGGTCTCAAACTTCTGAACTCAAGTGACCTGCCTGCCTAGGCCTCCCAAAGTGCTGGGATGACAGGTGTAAGCCACTGTGCCTGGCCCTCCAAGGGCTTCTCTAGGGATCAGAAAACACTTAGGGGAGGCACTGAGCAACAATCTTGAGGGGATACAGGTGGCAGGAAAGAAAAATAGGTGAAAACCTCTGTCCCTACAACTTAAACAAATACGCCCTTTGGAGATTTCCTAATAAAAAATAACACTTACTCATTCAACAAATAATTATTTTAGGCCAGCAATGTACACATGTTGTGGCTGCCATAAAGGTAACTAAAAACAGTTCCACAGGAAGTAACCAGAGGCAGCTATGACATGGTACAAAGACTGACCAAAGAAGTTAAAAGACATGGATTCAAATATTGAAGTCCTAATACCACCCTCATTAGCCCAGGGCCTCCAGATGGGTCAGTCACCTAACCCATCACTGTTTTGTAGATGGAGAAATGGGGAGAGGTCAAGCAATTTGCCAGAGGTCACAAAGCAGTCTGGTTCTAAAGTCCATGCACTATACCACTATCTCTGTAACATTGTGAAATATTTATTTGGAGCTGGACACGGAGGCTCAACGCCTGTAATCCCAGCACTGTAGGAGGCAGAAGTGGGTGGATCACTTGAGGTCAGGAGTTTCAGACTAGCCTGGCCAACACGGTGAAACCCCAACTCTACTAAAAATACAAAAATTAGTTGGGCATGGTGGTGGGCACCTGTAATTCCAGCTACTTGGGAGGCTGAGGCACAAGAATCACTTGAAGCCAGGGGGCGGAGGTTGCAGCGAGTGTGCCACTGTGTTCCAGCCTGGGTGACAGAGCAAGACGCTGTCTCAAAAAATAAATAAATATACATATATATTTGGTCTTTGTGCCTGTTTCTTGACATAGAGCGTCTAAAACTCTTTGAACCTCTGGAATGATGAGTAGCTTTTGTGCTGATTGTGGCTAGCGGCTATGACCACCCAGATAGCATCAGGATGACAGCTGGTCAGTGGAAAGACCAAAGCATGAGAGGGTTGGGACTCTTAGCCCCGCCCCCCAACCTTTGGAGATGGGAGAGGGGCTGAAGGTTAAATTGATTACCAATGGCCAGTAACTTAATCTACCATGCCTACATAATGAAGTTTCCATAAAAACCCAAAAGGACTGAGTTGGGAAGCTTCTGAATAGCTGAACATGGAGAGGTTCCTGGAGGGTGACCCACGGAGGGCATGTAACTTCCAAGCCTTTTCCCACATGCCTTGCTCTAGACATCTCTTCCATCTGGCTGTTCATCTGTATCTTTTCTAATATTTTTACAATAAATGGGTAAACATAAGTAAAGTGTTTCCCTGAGTTCTATGAGCCACTCTAGCAAATTAATCAAACCTGGGGAGTGGGCTTTAGGAACACCCAATGTATAGTCAGTTGTAAGAAGTATAGGTTACAACATTGCTTTCGACTGGCATCTGAAGTTGGGGGGCAGACCTGTGGCACTGAGCTTTAACCCAGGAGGTGGAGGTTGCAGTGAGCTGAGATTGGGCCACTGCACTCTAGCCTGGGTGACAGAGTGAGAGAGACTTTGTCACAAAAAAAGAAAGAAAGAAAACCAGCACACCACCAAAAGGCTAACTTTAAATTGCATTTTACTAAAGATCTTTAAGTGATTAAGAAAAAAGATTACTAAAAAAATCTTTTAAGTGTTGAAGAAAACTTTTTTTTTTTCAGACAGAATCTCATTCTGTTGCCTAGGCTGCAGAGCAGTGGTGCCATCAGGGCTTACTGCAGCCTTGAACTCTGAGAAACTCAAGCCATCCTCCCACCGAAGCCTCTTGAGTAGCTGGGACTACAGGCACTCGCCACCATGCTGGCCTACTTTTAAATATTTTTTATAGAGCTAGGGTATGGATACATTGCCCAGGCTGGTCTCAAACTCCTGACCTCAAGTGAACCTCCCACCTCCACCTCCTAAGGTGATGGGATTACAGATGTGGGCCACCACACCTGGCAAGAAAATATTAAAAGCACATTAACTCA